CAGGGCAGACCTCTCCTGTCTTGCCCGCTGCTCCTCTCAGCAGTGTATTTCATCAGTCTGCCTGTTCTGCTTCCCGCTCTGTCTCTGGTGAATCCTCTCACCTTCCCATGCATCTGGCCTGTACCCCAGTTCTTGTATGAAATAAATAAATCTTTAAAAAAATAAAATAAAATTTTTTATTTATGCATACAAGAGCTGGGGTGTAGGCCCGAGGTGTGGGGGGTGAGAGGACTCACCAGAGAAAGTGGGGAGCAGAACAGGCAAACTGACCAAAGTACACTGCTGAGGGGAGCAGCGGGCGAGGCAAGAGAGGTCTGCTGCGCCTTGCGGGTCAGCTCCCTGGCCGGCGATGGAACTCAGGCCGCAGTCACTGGCAATAGCCTCATAGTGCTAAGCCTTTAACCCCTGCGCCACCAGGGAGGCCCTAAACACCACCTCTTAAGTTTCTGTTCACACACTTAACCTCTTTCTTTCCGCCTTAGTTTTTTACCCAAGTATCTCACATCTACAACTGAACCTCAATGGATATAAGATGACCTTCCCACTAACTTGCCTCCAATGCAAAAGAAAGAGTCATAAGGAAAATAAAACCAGCCCACAGAAAAAAAGAAAAAAAAAATCTAGGCCCAAATTACTGAGGCCTACAAACTTCAGTCAGTGGTGTGACCGCACAAAGACCTGTAATTCCACACAGGTGGTCAAGATAACAGCGGGGGAGAAAAATCATAGGGCTTTAAAGCACAACAAGGAAAGGAAAATAAATGACAGTATATTTGCTTATAAGCGTCTCAGCCACAGGCATTGCTGCTAGGAGTAAATCAGGAGAATCAATTTTGAAGTCACAGCTGCTGCAACTTCGTGCTGGGCAACGGCTTCGTACGCAATAACCTACAATCTAATTAACTGGGAGATAAATTATCCAATCTAAACTGCATTTAGTTCTTTTTATAAACAGCCCAATAAATCGCCTAACTTCCTTCCTGCTATAAAAATGTCCCTGTCTCTGGATGCCTTGAACTGCGTAGCACGGAGAACATGTGGCCTGAGATCAGCATGGATAAGAGTTATGCCGGTGCTACATACTAATATTGTATCTGATTTTTAATGGCATCATCACTTAACTTCATATTATTGAGGCAATTTTTTAAATGGCTGAAACAGACCCTCAAGTGAAACAGAGATCCAAAGATTTATTAAAATGCCGAGATGCCGTAGACGATTTTTCAACAAAGGAAGATGAGCCAAGCCTCTCTCTCACTCCAGAACGCCAAACAGTTTAAGTTCGGGTCTGAGTTAGTTTCAGGCGATAACTTTTGTGATGGTTAAGACCCTCGCACCTCTGCTGCATTCTCGGCCAAGTGAGGACCAGGAACATGAAGGACAAGAGGTGTGTGACATCAGGAAAACAGGACAGGGGGATAGAAAAGGCAAAACAGAACTACCAGGCACAGCCGGGGCCCAGGGAGAGGAGGGCTGCCCTCGCTGGGCGGATTCACCAAGGAAGATGAGGTATCATTAAGGATGATGGGCCTCCCTGCCAAGGTGGCCGTAGGGTAAATGAAGATGCTCAGGCTTTTGTGCCGCTGGCCTCTGTGGCTATCACCTGCAGCTTTGAATGCAGGAGGCACTTGGGAGTGTGGGCTCGGGGCAGGCAAGCTTGATAGTGGACACCTGGAGTGTGGTATGGGTGTGTGTGAGTGGGCACACCTGGGCCTGGAGGCTGAGCATATTAGGGCCGCGTCACAAGGCGGAGGGCTGGGGTGAGGTGGGGAGGTGGGGGGTGGGGAGATGGTGTGGTGGAGACAACAGCTACGAGCGGCAGAACCACAAGACGGCACCAGAGAGTCCAGAGAGAGTCAAGATTCACCAGGGGCTATATTCACAGGGTGCTGGCAAGATTCACCTGCCAGCCTCCTGGCCCCCCAGCCCCACTGCCTGCCCTGAGCCTGGCTGCTGCACAACAAGTGCCATAGAAAGATCATTAAAAGCCTGAAAAAGCCACTGAGGGCTCCAGGACTCTCCTTTGCCCCTCTGCCCGGATCCCTTGAGAACCTGCCCCGTGCCTTCCTGGCACGGCAGTGTCAGGCAAGGGCGCCCCCAGAGAGACTGCTGCTGAACGTGGGGCACGCCAAGTGCACATGGGGTGAGCTCCAGCACTCAAGTCACAAAGACTGACATACAAGTCTCACTAAGCAGAACTGAAAACTAGCTGCCCCACCCCGGTCTTCAGTGAGGCCAGGACGGGAAGTTAGTGTGAGACCTGGCTGAGAGGGGTCCGAGGCCTACTGCTGAAACCATCAACAAAAAGCACTCAAGAAGTCTGTGCTGACAACTGTCCATTTGCCAACCCGCTTCACCGAGCACCCAGCGAACGCTTGGTTGCAGGGCCACGATTTCACACTAGGTATCTGTCCTTCAAGCCCCATCTGCAAGATGCTGAAATCTCTGTTCACCTGCGACACACACCCCAGACTCAGACTAAGGCCTCAGCTGTACTGCCCTCTAGCTCTTCCCGGTGCTACCTCAACACTCACAACTATATCACCGCTAAAACAGGGAGCTGACCAGTCCATCAGACCACATTTTGCATCCTGTTTCCAACACTTCCTCCTGAACCCACCTTAGTACAACTGTGCCCCTCCCAGCCTCCGTCATAAAGCTCCTGTGCACCCAGATTCCACACTGTCCACCCCACAGCATGCTTGGTGAGCCCCTGAACTCCTCCAGCTGCCTTTCTGCTACATTCCACCTTCCCAATTCTCACTGGACAGCCTAGGTACTTCCACCTCTGAGGGGTGGAGAGAAGGCTCGGCTCGCAGATGCTCACTCTACCTTCACACCGTCCGGCTTCCACTGGAACTGGGCCTTCACTGCAGTTGGTTGTCGCATTCCCATAACCAGCCCTCAGCGTGCAGGACCAGCCACCCCAAAACATCTGCCGGACAACACGCTTGAACAGACCTACGTGCTTAATTGTCCAAGAGCCCATACTGCCAAACATGTATACAACTCAACAACAAAAGAAAACCCACTTAAGACCATGGCAAGGGTCTGGAATCGGTATTTCTCCAAAGAAGATATGCAGATGGCCAATGAGCCCGTGAAGAGCTGCTCAGCATCACTGTTTCCCCAGGGAAACAGATCAAAACCACAAGACTCCACTTCCCACTGTGAAGAGGTTGTCTATCCAAAGTCCAGAAAACGGCAAATGTGGCAGGCACGTGGAGAGGCTGGGGCCTTGCACTGCTGGGGGGATGTGAAATATGCAGCTGCTGTGGGGACACTAAGGCAGCACAAACACTGGGGTCGAGAGTCCCCTTCTGGTTATTTTTTTTTTTTTTTAATAGAGGCATGTTATTTATTTGTTTGTTTGTTTTGTCTATACATGCACTGGGTACAGTCAGAAGCGCGGGAGGGTGAGAGGATTCACCAGAGCCAGAGCGGGGAGCAGAGCAGGCAGAAGGACCAAAGTACACTGCTGAGGGGAGCAGCGGGCGGCAGGAGAGGTCTGTGCGCCATGTGGGACCCTCCTCCGGTGGCTGGGGAGCAGCCGGGGATTGAACCGGCGCCGCAGAGGCCGCGGGCAGCTTCGCAACCCAGCGCTCAACTGCTGCGCCACCGGGGAGGCCCCCCTTCTGGTTATCTATCCAGAAGAATTTGAAAGCAGGGTCTCCGGGGGCGCCAAGCACACCCCCACACGTAGCAGCACCGTTCACGACAGCACAGGGGGCACAGCCAAGTGTCCACGGCAGGAGGTGGGCAAGCGGATGTGGTCGACATGTGGACTGGCATCACATCACCCTCAACAAGGCAGGGAACTGGCACAGACCACACCGTGGGTGAATCTTAAAAGCCTGGGGTAGGTGGAACAAGCCAGTCACTGAAAAACAGCATTGCACCATGGCACTTGCATGAAGTGGGCAAAGGAGTCAGATTCAGAAACAGCAGGAGAAGGAGGCTGGGGGTGGTGAGGCTAGGGGGGTGGGGTAAGGCTGTGTAGAGGATGCGGCTCCGCCGGCTGAGGGCTGGAGACTGCTCACGTGGCAGCACAGCATGCACTGCTGGGCGGTACACTTAAAATGGTGAAGCGGTCAATTTTATGTGTAGTTTACCACAATTAAAAAAAAGAACACAGAGTTAATTAATGTCTGCAGCTACTTACAAATTTCCCCAAATCTGGCACACCTGCCCCTGATGAGCTGGGTAGCGTTAGGATGTGTCTCCGGGTTGTCATCACCCACCATCCCTCTGCTCACTCCCAGACCTGTCTCCACTGCAGCTGAGGGTTTCATCCCTATGACTGACCCAGGCCAGGAATGACCGGGACAGCAGTTTCTGGGGAATGAAAACATGTAACAAGGGGCTGCCTGTCAATTCTTTCTCTTCTCCTCTCGCCTCTCCTCTTTCTTTCTTTCTCTCATTCATTTATTTATATTTATTTATTTATTTATACAAGAACCGGGGTACAGGCCAGATGCACAGGAAGGTGAGAGGATTCACCAGAGACAGAGCGGGGAACAGAACAGACAAACTGACAAAATACACTGCTGAGGGGAGCAGCGGGGAGACAGGAGAGGTCTGCTATGCCATGTGGGACCCTCGCTGGCTGGCCGGGATCGAAGGGGCACTGCAGAGGCTGTAGACATCTTCACAGCGCTGTGCTCACCTGCGCCATCAGGGGAGGCCCTGTCAATGCTTTCTTAAAAAACTTTGAGCTTTGTGATTTCTTGTTGAACAGCAATTTAGCTGAAATGTGGATGTACATTACTGATATAACAAAAACATTGTGGTTTCCACTGCAGGCTGAAGATGGCACCCGGGGGCTCTGCTTGGGCCGGGGAATGGGATAACGTATTTTGGTTGAAAGTCTCCCTCACTTCTCCTGGTTTGTACCCCAAAATTTAAACTACCATCTGTCAGAGACAATCACGAAGTCTATCACTCACACACGCATGTTTCATGGAGAAACCGACACAGAGCTGTGTTGCACACATCCTTACCTGCACAAGTGTGTCCAGTGTGAAGATGTGCTCCCCGCGAACATTGTAGAACTTGACCATGGCGCTTTTCAGCAGGGGGCCGTTGGGAAGGTCACCAGGCTGGCTCTGTCGTTCGACACCAGCGACAGCCAGGAGGTCGCCCTGTGTGCACCACTGAGCCACCACCTCTGAAACACAGAAGTGAGCACGGTCAGCACTAGCAGCGACCCACTCCCAGCTTCCACGTAGGTAGTTTCAAAACAGAGAGAGATGCTGAGAAAAACAAAGGTTGTTTTTTGAAACCGGCCATCAGCTATTTCTCTAAATACACACCCTATTGAAAATAGGGGTTTGTTACATGGGTTGGGGGTGCAGTTCCCCCAAAACAGAACTCAGTCAGGTGAACACCACAGATTACAGAAAGCTGGCACATTAACCATCGCTCTCCAGCAGCAGCACTTCTGTGACGGGCCTTGCTGGTGGAGAGCACAGGTCTTTAAGGGGATAAACCTACAAGGACATGGTACCTGCTTTTCCCACAGCTTTTCCCACACGCACCCCCAGATGAGATTCAGAGCACGTGCGAATGTGTGAAGTAAAAGGCAAACCAAGAGCAAAGTCTCAGTTCACATTCACATGACCTCTGCATGCCACTGGGCTGAGTGCTCAGGTGAGGGGATGCCTTATGTGGAGGCCCTGACTTCTGTCCAACACAGAGTGATGTTGGGGGGCCTGGAAGAGAAACTCTTCTGTGGGAGCAGTGCTGTTTGAGTTCCGCCCACCTACCAGCTGCAGTGCTGACACAGAACAACCAGTAAATGGTTTATCCAAGCTCAACGTGAAGAAATTGCTTATTTCTTGCTTGTAAAACAAGTTATTCATACTAATAAGATTTACAACATAGTTTTTCTCCCCATGGCCCTGAAACTTTATCTGCTTATGCCGAGGTCCCCAGACTCTCCAGAGAGGCCAGGGGGATTTGAAGATGTTCAGACAGGGAGGACGCATTTCCCAGCTGGGTCTGGAGTTGGAGAGCTGCTGCCATTGGGTGCAGGTGACTGCAAGCGCCATCACCCGTGGGTGAGCACACCTGACTCTGATGTTGACGCCAGCATATTCTGAGTCACAATGTCCTTAACGTCCTATGAAAAGCAGACAGCAGTCCCTGTTGGCTGTCCAGACCCAAGGAGGCGAAGCTGCTCCTCAAGCTAGGCCCAGACAGAAACCAGGGAGATGGATGTGGCAGAAGCCTGAGCCGAAGCAGCTACGAAGCCAAATTAGAAATGCCACAAGTAAAACAGTGAAAGTATCAATAAAAATGTGTGGGTTTCTTTTTTTTTTGGGTGGGGGGCAGGTTTAAGGTTAAGCATAAACCAGAAAATAAAAAATGACTTCAAAGAAAGAAAGAAATATCCTGGTATGTAGGTTTCTTTACCAGATGAGAGGGGAAGCTGAGTGCACTTTGGGGGCCCAGGGGGTCCCCCATGCTCTGGTGAAAAGCCTGACGGTGAGACGTGTCTTTGGAAACTCAAGACACCTGGGAACCTGAAGCGGGAGGGCCTGGCCAGCACGGGGCCATCACGGCCACTCTAGGATGCCAGCACTCTGGTGCCAGCTCCTCCGCTGGCCCGCGTGGTCAGTGGGTAAGCGATTACAGGCACTGCTCTGTCATTGAATTTTTGTCACAAGATGGTTTTTCCCACCAAAAAAAAGTGGGTCATTGCCTTGCGGGCTGACCTAGACACGCCGCCCATTCAGAGATTGCCCGAAGAGGAACAAAGCCCAGTCTGGGCACTCCAGGGGAGTCTGCTCGCCAGCTCAGTGCCGTCCGTCTGAGGGAAGAATGAGTCTGAACGTTCACAAACGCTCAGGGATTTCTTTATATTTCAGTTACAAAGCTGTGTGGGCTGTGACCCACAAGGCAAGTCACTCTTTCAAAGGGAGTGTGATCCCACAGCTAAGTGCTGTCTCCTATTCTGAGCATCAGGGGCCTGGCGGCATCAATGGGCACAGCTACACGTGTGGGGTCCCGTGATGTTTCACCCACGCCAGTCCTGGGGTCCTCTCAGCGCGCCCTGGCGAGAACAACGCAGGAGCGGGCAAGGAAGAAGCAGCCCGGACTGTCCAAAGCCAGCCAGAGGCGTGCGTGAGAGATTGCAGAGGCTGAATCCATAGGGCTGGAATCTAACGTCCTCACAAATTAGCACGGATGAAGGGAAAATCAAACACAGTGGTTCTCAAATAACATCATTTTGTTCAGTGTTGCTTTGCTGTAACTTTGATGAGAAGGAAAAAATCCTGGCCAACTTGGAACAAAGGGACATGACTGAGGACCACCTAGCCCTGACCCCGGGAGACTCTCTAGACCCCACGAGGACTCCACCTGCCAACCTCGGCGAGAGCCCTGTCTCCCACTGGCCCTCCGCGTCGTCACTGGTTTCCTGCCCTAGACACGTAAAGTTCTTCCTCTTAGTTGTCGCTTCTCTAATGGGCGAATTTATAGTGACCATCTCAGTCGTTCAGCACCATGAAAGACAGACAACTCAGAAAAGAACTCAGAGAAAAACCACGCACTCACCCAACAGCCCACGGTGGCGTGAGGGAGCGCCTCCCTGCGGCTCACGGCCCTTGGGGGGGGGGGGCAAGCAGCTCCCGACCAGCAGAGTCTAAGCAGCAAAATGGGGCACACACCCTCCCCCCCCAAGCAGTATAATGCTTTTCTAAAACCATTCTACTGTCTCAAAATAGAATTCAGAAGTGCCCGGGGAGGGGCACCTCAGGCAGGGGGCGTAGTCCAGCCACAGCCAGCACGAAGCACATGGACCTGATTCCCCAGATCACCCAGGGAGGACACGCAGCACCAGACCCCACTCTCTGGTCTGAAGGACGGCTGTGCGGGTCCGGCCCCACTAGATCAGAGTGGGGTCACAGGGGCCCCGTGACAGGAAGGCTGACGCCAGCCTGGGAGTCCCCACCGAGAGCTCTGTTCAAACTGTAACAGAACTGTTCCTCCAAAGAGCTCCTCAGGACCCCCAGGGTATGAGTCCCCCAAGCGCAGACTCCCGCAAAGGCCCGAGTGCCCACGTCCTCTTGTGGTGGCAGCATCCATCCACTAGGCAGCCGCACGCCCAGCCACTGACCACGCCATGCCTTGGCGCAGCAAGTGGGCCGCCCTGTCCGCGGGGGACCTGACTGCACTTCAGCTCCTCGGTCAGCCCTAACACGTAGACCGTGCGGGCCCTGCCTGTGGACGCCCGGGCCAACACCCACACCAGAGGGTCACTCCTATCGCAGTGGGAAGGGGTGACTACCAGGGGCTCCTCAAGACAAGCCTTGTCAGACAAGCAGAGCAGAGGAAATGACCTTTGTTAAGAGACTCCACTTGGCCCCGAAGGGCAGTGCTGACAAGCAGGAGTGGCCCCCGGCCAGACAGCGAGGTGCAGCGGCCGCATCTGTACCTTTCAGCCCTGAGCGGATGACGGTGGGAGACAAGTCGTCGTAGTTGTTCATCAAGCTGATGTCTCCTGAGGTGAAGCTGACGGTGAGCAGGGGCTTAATGTTCTGCACCGGGATGGGATACGCAGCTGGACCATCTGCAGACAAAATCGTGGCGTGAAAAAGGGGCCACGAGCACACACCCCACACCGTGTCGACAGGGCCACAATCCTGCAGAGTTCCCTGACTCTGAGCTCAGGTTCTGACTTGGGCCTCACCCCACGAGGAGCCCTCTCACCACCCGGGAGCCACATGGGCCCCAGAAGATGCTGACCAGAAAATCCCGGGAGGAGAAGCAGGTAGGGCGGGGCGGGACTCCTGGGCTCTCATGTGTGGTGGAGGATGTGTGTGCAAAGCATTAACTTGAGCGCTAATGTGGTCTGTGTTTATAATGACGTATACAGGTAAATCATTTAAATGTCCCATCACGTGGACAGATGGTGTGAAGAGGAATGAAAATATTTTCGTAATCCTAGTCCAACAGAGACGAGCTGCTTTCCAACACGAAGTGCTCTCTCATTGAAGGTTACAGGCAGTGAGCAGCCTCAGCGCCCACCACTGGCTCTCTCTCTGGTTTTTACCACAGGAGCCCCCAAATCTGGAGAAGGCTGAGGGTGTATGTGGCTCAGGAGGAACCACGCTACACCCACCGCACACAGCCACCATGAAGAGGCCTGCTTCCCGAGCCCAAGATCACTCACTGGCATCAAGGAAGGAGCCACCAGGGACGTGTTCTAGATTCTGCCTTGTGTTGTTTCAGAGGGTGAAGTCAGGCTCTCCCACAGGCCTGGGGCGAATCAGGAGGCTCCTGCAGGTTTCACACCCACTCCGAGCTCCTCTCGGGCAACTACCCCGGGGCCTGCCTTTCGCCCACAGAGGAGCTAGTCATGCCCTCCTATGCTCACGTGAGGTCGTCGGGGCATCTACCTTGTGCTTGAACTCCCCAGGCCACCAAGGAAAACCCTGCCCCACCTGAAAAGCAAATCCTGTCTCCAATGTGCCCTACTGCTTCCATGGAGGGCAACCGGGCGCGGCCAGAACTAAATTCTATTCTTAAGACTCACTCTGCACTTGCTTTATAAACTGGGTCTCTGGATCCTAGTCCTTCCAGTAATGAATGGGGGTAGGTGAATCTACATTCCATTTAGTAAAGTCCTGTTTTAAAAGTAAGCTATGTCCAACGTTTGAAAACACTGACTGTTTACTACATGGCTGGAGAAATGACGGATACCTCACTCGAGGCTGGGTCTTCCTAGGAGGGCGTTACCTCTTCAATGGCCTGACGGTGCTAAGAACACCCTCTCCAGACTCATCAGTCTGGAAACTCTGTCAAGGCTCTGAATTCTTTTCATGGGTGAACACTGACTTCTCCTTAAACAAACAAATACGCATGTGCGTATAGTATCTCGTCTGGGGAAGGAGGGAGAAGACAAAAGGCATGCACCCAGGCACCACTGGAGCAGGCGCTCACGGGGAGGAAGTTTTAAATCTTTCCCGAATGGGCCCACTGTAGGGTGAGCATGTGCCAGTGTCCAGGAGAGGCAGAAACCAGACGGCCTGGAGCGTGGTCATGGGGCCGAGGACAGCCATACTGCAGCCACGCGGCACCCTAGCCAGCTGCCTGTCACTATTTCACAATTCAGCTTCCTTTTTAAGAAAAAGGCGAGGCACTGGTGATGGGCTGAGGCTCCAAGTGGGCCGCACCAAGCTCAGACAGACCCCGGTGGTGACCAGTGCTTACAACAAAGGCTTCTGCTTTGGGGGGATCCCTTTTGGGGGTAAGACACTGCAAGGGGTGAAGGAGGCAGGAGTCTGAAATTATCCCCACTAAGTCTGAAATAACCCTTCATTATCAGTCCAAATGTTAAAAAACTTGGATGTCAACTCATCGAAGCTGATATTGCTGCGAGGCTTTTAGCTTATGGGGGGTGTCCTTTGTAGCTGAGAAAGAGAAGTGTCTGCCTGAAATAAAGAAGATGGGGGCACGGACACCAGCTGGGCACCCTGGCCTTCCCCACGGGCTGAGTTAATCCCTTCCTTGCATAACTAAGGCTGCAGCTTTAATAACATTAGGGATTTGGAATGCACATATTAAGTTATATTAATAGCACAGCATTTTTCATCTTCAGCTCTCTTTATTCTCACTAAGCAGCTAAGCCCCACAACACCCCAGGGACATGGAAAGGGTCATAAGTCTCATTTATAGCTCGGAAAACCGAAGCCAACGGCGCTTCATCAACCTGACTGGGGGTTTGGGAAAAGGCCCAACAGAAAACACAGTCAAAGAAGAATGGAGATGAGGCCGGTCCTCCAACACCTCCTATTAGAGAAGTCCCCCCAGGAAGGGAGGGAGCGGGGCACGGGGACTGCGGGGGCATTGCCATTCCTCCTGGAAGTGGGGTCACTGTCCTCCCATGCCCTCTGGTCCCGCTGGCGGAGCGAGCTACCTTGCGGGGGTGAGTAGTCGTCGGAGTCAGTGTCGCTTTCGCTGCTGTCCTCCACCAGGAAGGCGGGGTAGTTCCAGGACATGCCGAGGATGCCTGCGGACTCGTGCAAGAGCACGTGGGCCAGCATCCGGCCGTGGCAGTCCATGACGATCACCTGCCCGTCGGCCGTGCCAAACAGCACCTGCAACCAGGATAGCACCCTTGACCGACAAGGGAAACGCATCGCCCCAACGGGCTTGAGAACGCCGAAGGACAGGCCCGTAACCCAGGGAGCAGGGAGCCCCGAGATGCCGAAAAGCGGGACGGGCCTTCCCCAGTGACACTGACTCAGCCACTGCCTCCTTGCTGGGGCGTTTTTGTTTCCTTGCTTTCGAGTTCTGGCTGGAGGCAGAGGGTAAAGAAGGGAAGAATGCTCACTCCTGTTTCTGGGGAAGAAAGCAGCAGCAGAGGTTGGTTATTAAAAATTTCTCAGATTTGGAAGGAAAAAAAAGGTAGGTGTATGTTTGACCAAAGGGAAAATGTGTCTGTTATGTAAATGTATTATCTAACTGCACTTGGAAGAGAGGCTCTTGGAGCCGTTAAACGTGTTATTTCCCGGAGAACAAGCATGGTGTTAATGACCGGCTAATGTTATCATGTATTAATGATGTTCGTAGCTTCAGTGAGGTTTACTTTAGCTGGGCACTATACTACAGGCCTTCCCCCACCAGCTGTCAGAACAACCCTGTGAGTTAAACGCCTGTCCTGCTGGCGTGAGCGTGGGTGGGCCGAGGCCCGGCTGAGGATGCTCAGGAGAAAGCCCCAGCCGAGGCACAGGGCACATGGCCAGGCAGAGGGACCAGCAGGGCCAAGGAAGGCTGGGTGTGGGGACCCCTCCATCAGAGGGGCAGAAGAGTATTCACAGCTGCTGGAGGTCTCCCTGCCAGGTAGGGTGTCACCCAGCTGGGTGTCCCTAACCAGGAGCCCTGGATGGTCCAGGAAGCGGGGTCCCTCTGCCCCCGGAGCTTCCATGTTCTCTCCTGTCTTGTGTGGCGGGTTGCGTGTTAAAAGCTTAGTATCTTCTGTTCTGAATGGGACTTATTTATCCCTAAGCAACTCATTGAGACAATGGCACAAATTATTTCTATTTCACAGGCGCAGAAACTAGCTGTGAGGGGACAGGCAAGCAGACAAAGCCCTCAGCTGGGGTCAGGCCAGGCAGGGTGAGCACACGGGAGGGCGAGCAGGCTGGGGCCTGCACAAGGGAGTCAGCGACGGCCTTCTAGGTCCTCACCTCTTTCTGCTTTTAAGACTTTGACATTAAGCTGCCTGCTGCTGTACCCCGGCTCCTCACAGAGCTTGGGGTGCACAGTATGCACACAGTAAATATTCATTGCTACATGAAAGTCAGTAATAATTAAAAGGCAACTTTAGGACAAAATGGGATGGTAAAGGTAGATTATTTTGTAAGGGATTTACAGAATTTAGAGCTACTCTAGAGTAAATCAACTGCTTTATCCAATATCCCTTTAAACATGATCTACATTGAATTTCCAGGGCTGATGAATCTCAGTATTCACCCCCTTAAGGAAAAAGAGACTAGGACATGAGGCACACCGGGGAAGTCACTCTGGGCCAAGTGGAGTGTGGGGGTGTCCACAGAGAGCAGGATCTACTGCCCACAGGACCTTGCACGACACGGATGGTGGGGGGCAGTGCAGGGAGCAGCGGCCGCAGTGGCCACAGCGGCTCAAGCCCTGGAGGAGGCAGGTGTCCAACGCATTCATAAGTGACAGTAACAAACAACGGACATGACTCGACTTACATATTTTAAAAGGGAAAAAGTATGGGGGCAAGCCCACCATTAAGCCAACACTTCAGGCGACACCCCCAGCAGCAGGGGCTCCCCCTCCTCCCCACCTCACCTGCTGAAGGGCATGGTGAAGGGCAGCTTCGTGCTCTGATGCCAGGGCATGGGTATCATCACTTAGGACTCCGGCTTCTAACCAAGACTGCCCATGGTGGCCTACGGGTCAGCAGATAGCAGCTCCTGACCAGGTACCGACCCTCCCATGACCAGTGCCCCGCAGCTGCTTCCCACTGACCATGCCAGGCGGCACACTTCTGGGGACACAGAGCATGTCTGCTCGCGCCCTGCTCCCCAGGCCGTCACAGGGGGAGAAAATGCCTACGCACCGGAGCCCCGGGTGACGCTCACACCTCCGCGCTTTAAAGCGGAACTAACACTGGACAACAGAACATATACATCCTATTCTGGAACCAAGGACTGGATGAGCTCCCCATGTCTGATGTCACACAGACACAGAAAAGGACAGACTGCTAGCCCCGCAGGGCCGCCAGCAGTCCCAGGCACTGTGGTCCCGGGGGGGCCACGCTCGCGCAAGCAGCAATACCTGTCCAGCAGCAATGGCGTGAGCCACCCTGTCTGGAACAGTGTGTTGCAGGTAACTGAAGAGCACTGATGCGACATGAAATCGGACTTTAAAGATCTCCGGTTACAAGCTCTCTCGTGCCTGATCACAGCCAACGAGATGAGACTAACGGGAGCCAAAGACGTCACAGGCACAAGGCACGATCCTCACGGTGCAGCCACCAGGCCGGCCCGCTCTCTCTCCTCCCGCTCCGTCAATCCCGTCAGTCACGAATGTACTCTGGTCATCCAGCCAGCTCCTCCCGCCCCCTCCCACCTCTCCCCGCCCAAGACCCCCCAAGATCCGGACCACACGTCAACTACCCACCCGCGTGTCAAACACCCCCAGAATGGACCTCTGCGGGAGCAGCGCACGAGCCCCTCCTTCCCGCAACGGCACACCAGGCTCTCCTCCAGCAGGCATGGTGGGAGTTTTATCTCCAAGGTCCCGGAGAGACCTGCAGACATCGTGCGTGAAGGCTGGGGCCTCCACAGAACTAAGCTCACCCTGAACTCCGCTCCGCCCCTGCGCGAGTTTCCCGCTTAGGGCAGTGCAGCAGGAGGCCTGCCTGAAGCACTGGCCTCTGTTCAAGCTTACTCCCAAATGAGCAACACCTTTCCTTCTACCTACAACTATAAACCGATCACAGATGATGAAAATCCCTGTCTTATGCCTCTCCCGCGGCTTCCGCCGAGGGCTGCAGGCCGTGTGGCTGTGAGGGCGGGGACAGCGCTTGCTCCCCAGCTGCCCTCCCAAGAACTGAGCAGGCTGGTAGGAAGCCATGGGCCCTCTGGCCATCTGTCTGTCACTGCAGGACAGTTTTTAGTATCACTTAATATCTATCATCTCTTCACTTTGGTGTGTTCCACTACTACTGTTAGATGCATTTCCATATTTTAAAATATAACAATTATTATCAGTAATTTAAACTGAACTAAGTTACAAACCCAACAGGGTAGGAAGAGGATATAAAATCATTCAAAAGACTTGTGCTCTGGAAGCAGCAGTGCTATCTCCTCAGTACCTTATCTTGGGGCACTGGCACTCGAACCTCGACTCCTGAATAAAGACCAGAGTAGGAATTTCAACTACAAGAAATGCACGCTCCCCTAACGCTCACCTCTTCGCGGCAGTTTGGTGAGCAGTGCTGGGACTAGTCCAGAAGGAGCTGATTTTCTCCCTCCATTTATTTGCTTTCATGATTTGAAGCTGGGGCGGGGGGGGTGGATAGAAAAGTGAGTACAAATCCCTACCAGCAGCCTCAGCCTGGCGGTGGGGGGAAGGGAGGACAAGTGTGATGTCTCAGGAGGAACCTTGGTCCTGAGCTGCCACTGAGGCACCACTTTGGTTTCGATGACCTCTTGGATGGGTCTCAGAACATTAGTTTTCAAATGTGCTTCAAGGACAGATTTGAATATCCTGCACGAGAGAAACTGTTGCTGATATCAGACAGAATTGCTAGATTAACAGAATATTTGAAAAAAAAAAAAAGGTGAAATGTAATTTCACAGTTGACTATAACAGTGATTTCTAAAACAGCTATTTTAAGACTTATTCTGATAAATATGAGAAAGAAATCTCACCCAAAAAGTCTATAATAAAAAATTTGTACCTTTGGGCTGAACATGTAATTTTGAAGTTGTTTCATCTCTCCAGGGCAGAAAAGACCACATAGAAACTAACCCACAAAAATGAGAATATCCTACATTTAAAATTTTTCAGAGGAGGAGACATTCTATCTGCCCAGGCATAGAATTTAATATTAAGTGATTCCCATTGCTAGAACATTCTGTCCCATTTTAAAGTCTATTTGCCCCCGTACAATACCTACACGGTATTTAGGTAGTCAGCTGAGTTACTCCAAACACCAGCAATTCAGGGACCAGGAGGAGACATTTCCTTATAGTGAATAAAAAATTCCTTACAAATAAAAAATCATGATTCTATATATTTTGGTTTTGTCACGTTTGACTTTTTCTATCAAGGAGTGACCTGATTTAAGCACTTCGATCATAACCATGACCCGTCTGTCAAGTATCAGTAAATTACTTTTCATTCATAAGACTGTGATGACAACAACATGTTCTTAGCTGACAAGGCAAAGAGTTACACTGTTATCTGTTGCCTCCTTTATAAATCATTTCCTATCTTATAGTGTAAGACAGAGAAAAGCTCCAGAATTGATCTCCCATGCAAGAGATGTCCTTTAAAGCCATGGGCTAATCCAAGTCCCAAACAAATTATTTTAATCTGACAAGAACTGTCTTCAAAGGAAAGAGGCGGTGTGATAATGGCACTGCGGTTCTGGAAGGAAAAGCCACATTTTGAAGACATTTATGTTGAAGTATGTTCCAGGGAAAGGACATGCCATCTGGGATCTGCTTTAAATACAGCAAAGAAAAGAGCAGAGAGGGGCAAAAAAGCAAAGGTGGCGGATGTGTGGGTTGTTCATTCCAGTGACTACTGATCTATTACTGAACTTTTTTACGATCCCTTTTTAAAATTACAAACATTTGTAAAACCCCAATGAGTCCCTTATTACCAGGAGGCTCCTGGGGAGTTAGTGGCTCTCCTTGAGCTCTGTGTTAGTCCTTCGATCATGACCTTACAGTTAAAAAGTAAACGAATAACTCTTCTTTTCAACTGACTCGTGTTAAAGTTTTGAGCATGTGGCAGTTCCTTCCTCATCAGTATATATCTCTGAAAAGAGACTGTACAGTGATTTTAAATGTGTACTTGTTTTACTGCTGGGATTAAATGTTCTGAAGAC